ATAATTCTGTGTTAGGTGGTAAAACAGCCTGTCACAAAGTTAACAAGTTGTTGTCAGTGCAAATCTCCCTTAACTGTGTTGATTTAAGGCCCATTCTATTTTCCTCACCATGTGTTACTTCTGTAACATTTGATTCTCAAAATTCTTCACCTTTATTCATTCGTTTAGACACAGATGCTTCACCTAAGAGGTAAATATCAGTATTCCTGCTGTAAAAAAAGTGAAGCATCTGATCCATAGAAAGCTTTGCTCTCTGCTCATTTGCTGTGCTCAGCGTCATTCAACAGAGCACGTGTGTAAGAGTACCACAGGCCTACGTGCAATCAGAAAGTCATATGGGAAAGGGACCTGAGCTAATGAAAGAGTTTTGATTATTGAAAGCTAGTTGAAAAAACTACTTAAAAACCTATTGAAAAAATGTGGAAGCCTCTGAGAGGGATGTGTAAGCCTAAGGCATGAATGAACACTGGCAGCAAAGGCAGTTATCCTTCTGTATCACAAAAATACCTTGCAGATGCATTGTGATGCTTAGATGGTGTTAAGAAAGGTTTTAACATTTGGATCAGTTGAGATGCTCTATTATTAGTTCTTTTATTTTTTTTTTTATTAGTTTTTTTTTTTTTTTTGACAAATTTTAGATCATGGATGATACTTTCTATAAAAAGAGTGAAATGGAAATAATTCATTAAATACCATAGGCAATTCCTGAAGCAGTAAATACTACCAGTACCACACCTAGATTATTATTTTTGTTAGTTATTCAATTCTTCTTGCATGGTAGCTCTAAGCTCTGCTGTTTACAGGTAAAAAAATCAGTATGTACTTGTGCTGTATACATGCTGAGTACGGTGTTTTCCTACTTACCCATAGCTTTTTTTAGGTAGATGAACATCATTCAGACTCATAGTGACCTCCAACTTTGATAAATTCCCCTTAGATTTTTAGTTGATTAGGGGTGGAATAGAGTTCCAGTAGTAAGTGCTTAAGTCCATAAGCCTGCAAGTTCATATGTGCCTAAATGTGAGACTGCACTTGCCATTGCCTTAAGTGAGACTTGTGGCATTTCAAAATCCCACTCTTCAGTGTCAGATCACAACATTAAAAGAAACTTAGTTCTGAAAACTGTAAAACTACATTCTTGCTTATATATCTTATGTGAGCTGGTTTTCGAAATTGTTAACTATACAGGAGTGCTCAGTAACTCAAAATTAGCACTACTTATGTTAGATGCTGGGAACTGGATTGTAAGAATCTAATATAGCTACTTTTTAAACAAAATAAAAGCCAGGCTATATGTTTTTAAGGCTTCTTAAAACAATTATGAATAGTTGATGGTTTTGAATATCTAATTTGTGATCAAGAGCCTTCTGAGTCTGTGGTTGCCATAAGGGTTATGAGATGCTCTTATCATTATGTGCTAGATATACACTGAAAAGAAGCTATGTTTCAGTATTTGAGGCAGGTTAATATTTTAGTCACTACTCAATAGTTGGTAGATTAGAATTTCAATTGAAAAAATCCATTGAAACTTTTGCTTTTGAGCATTAAAAGCTATCAACATTCATTCAGTGTTTGGGTTTTTTTCTGTCCTTAATCTTGCAAATAAAAGCTTCACAACCTCACCATCTCAATGTGTGGTCCTAAATTGCCATTTCAAGGCACAACAGTAGTATTTGCAAAAATACCCATTTTTTTCCCTGCAGTGGTGGTATGCATACATTTTTCCAGGCTGGCTAGCTCCTCATACAGACTGGTGTATTTAAAAGAAGTTATACAGCCTCCCAGTGCACACAGCAGTGTTGCTATCACTAGTGTAAGTTCTTGCAAGATTTGCACTCATTTGTGGAACAGCTTTGTTTTATAAAGTCTAAGAAAACCAGAAAACTAATTACTGTTGCTTATTTTACATTCGTTTTTATAGCGTAAAACAAATTTATAGAAATGCCAGGCTAAAGCCAGTACTATGACCTTGGAATAACCCAGTGATGAATTACACACATGCAGAGATATGTGTGCATAGACGACAAAATTTCTTTTATTCTCTGTCTCCCTTTAGAAACATTTCTTCCTCACACTACCTGCAGTACAGCCAGTACAGCCCTCATCTGGGAGGGAGGAGTGGTGTATAATTCTAATTTTATTCTGCTTTTAATGTTCGCATTTCCAAAATCGGACAGTTTCCTAGACAGCCACTCTAACAGCCTGCTTTTCTTGCTGCTGTCTCTGTGACCCTGAAAGCGCCGTGGATGTTTCGGCTGCCAGTGCTGCTGGGGCTCCGGTGCCAGCTCACCCACGAGCCCTCCTCCGACCCTCCGCATTGATCTTGAGATGCCCGGCTGAGGCACAGCCACCCCGTGGGCTGCAGCTTTCAGGGATGACGAACACACCTTTGGCTACTTGCCATGGCTAGCGGGGCTACAAGCCCCACTTGCCGTGCGTGCCCAGGTGCTGGGGGCCGCGGGGTGACCGCTGCGAGGCGAGGCGGCTGGGGCCGCCCCGTGCGGGATCCAGCCGGTTCCAGCCGGTTCCAGCCGGTTCCAGCCAGTTCCTCAGTGGCCGCGCCACAGGGCGCCGCAGAGCCCAGCAGCCAAGCTGGCGGCACCGCAGGGAAAACCTTCTCTGGAAAGGGCAGAATGCCACACAGGCGGTGGGGAGTGAGGGACAGCCCTGCCGGCACCAGGCGGGAGGAGAGGAGGTAGAGGAGTCAGCAGTGAAGGCGTGAAGCTGAGCCTGGAAAATGGCAGGGATGGAGGATTTTAGGCTTTGTCTGTGTTTCTCACCATCCGACTCTATTGTAATTGGCAATAAATGAAATTAAGTTTCCCCAAGCCGAGTCTTTTTTGCCCATAATGGTAACTGGTAAGTGATCTCCCTGTCTTTTGTCTTGACACATAAGCTTTTCCGTCTTATTTCCTCACCCATCTTGTTGAGGAGGGGGAGGCAGAGAGCGGCTGGCAGCAAGCCTGGGTCTACCCACCACACTGTGCTGCTTGCCATCGTTGGCTATCGACTTTTATCCTCAAAGAAAGACTGAATATTGTAGAAAGAGTCAGTCATACCCCACATTTTTTGGACTGATGGCTTACCTGAGAAGGGAGAAGGAAATTCTTCTGAACTTAACTGATAAACCTGGATTTGGTTTTACATAGAATTCCTTTCCGGCCCTTGAAAGTTCAATACACACTACTAAAGTACTAAAGTTCTAGTCTACTTTTATTAGTCTACTTTTAGTAGAATATGTCATCTCCCCCAGATACTTGAAGTAGATGTTAAGTAGGTTCTTAATTCAAAAAAAAAAAAAAAAAAGAAAAAAGGAAAAACATTTTTATCAACAAAGTACAGTACACTGAGAAAGGCATTATAACCTTTGTGTTTTGTCTTTAAATTGTATTCAAGTTTATCCTATCATCTCTTTCATAATACAGTGCCCAATTAATTCTTAGCTGAAAATGTGTGGCCTGTCAGAAGTTTGTGAAATGTGCTCCTTATTCTCATATAAGCAGAGCATCCTATTAGGCAAACATAGATTCATCTGAAAAATACACTGAAAGGGATAAGATCCCAGCAGTAGGGGGTAAAAACCCCCACATAGCGTTGTACACAATGCTTCATTTTCATTCTCCAGGATATCACAAAAACTGGGAATTTTTTCGATTTTCAATTTTTCTAGTTTTCTGGCACAGGAAACAATAGTACCATAGCCAAAATATTAAACACCATTGATTTTAATATATTAATCTCTGATCCTTTTGTAGCATCTGTGTGTTATTGAGAAGGGATGGCAAGAATCAAGCAAACAAACAAGAGTTTTCATTTGTCACCCAGAATTCTGACTCTGCCCTTCCTTCACACATTTGTCTAGCCACTGAGTCACTGAGCTTACAGTATTGTGTAACTTTCATTTCTGTGGAGGCTTGTTATATTAGAAAAATTGTTCCAAAGAAAGCAACAATTATGACATAAGCACATCTGGCTCTTGCAAATTATTCTTTATTAAGCTTTCATTTAATTACATGTGCTGAAAGGTCTGCTTTTGATTACTGTAATTTTTTTTATTTGTCCATCTGAATGATAGTAATGTTGGAAATTACATACAAACCACCTGGCTTTTTTCTCACTAATAAGGCAAAGTTTATATAGATTTATGTGTAGAAGAGGGATTAGGATCTTCCCTGTTTATGGTAGAAGAATTATTGCTGATGCTCATTCAAGGTGAGGGTTTAAATTTGGTCACTGGAAGGAAATTAAACCTATTTGGTTTTGTTCAGTAAACACTTTAGATTGGTAGGAATAGTTTATTTTAATATACAAGTCTTTTATTATGCTTCAGTTAAACTTTTTGAAAAGTTCCAAGAGGGTGTTTTTGTGTTTTCATCACTATATACAGAAATTTTTAAGGCCTACATTCCTTATTAGAATTTATAGAAGTTATAACAATCATTGTATTTTGAGATGGAGTCATACCCTGTTGCCTATTTTAACTTCCATTGCTGTCTAGAGAAGATTCAGCATTGCCTTCTGGTAGCAAATGCTTCTTACATCAGCTCCCAGTAGAGATTCTGGAGTTGGTGGGTAACTTCTGGGTAAGAACAGAAAGACCTGAAGCATTGTTGTTTCTGACAGGAGTTTATACATCATTTTCATAAACAGTCTTATAATTTTTCCAATTTTGTTGTTAATATTCAGGCACAGTATAACCTTCTGCTCATTACAATGACCACCATTAGCAAGAATAAAATAAAAAAAAAAAATCACCTAAAAGTCAAATTAAGAAAAAAAATGTTGGTGTGTGTGAGTTTTCTGGGCGTGTTTTGTTTTGTTTTCTTTTGTTTTTTAAAATAATAACAGGATGGAAAAGGCCACAAACAAGAAAGTGCTGAAGAAAATCTATAATTCCTTTAAGCGAAGAAACAGCAGAGCAATAAAAATTATGTACATTTACAGCTTCTTTTTTTTTAGGAATTTTGCAGGAATATATTGTATATCTTCTTGTCTTCCAGCAACTGTATGCAGCTCAGCTGGCAAGCATGCAAGTTTCTCCTGGAGCCAAAATGCCATCTACTCCACAGCCACCAAATACGACAGGGGCACTCTCACCCACTGGGATGAAAAATGAGAAAAGAGGGACCAGCCCGGTAACTCAAGTTAAGGTATTTTTCAGTAAAAAAAAAAAAGTCACTGTCTCAAAAGGGCAGTGAAATTAAATTGTCTATTTAATTGTTTTACATTTGGAAGCAGAATCACATAAAAGTATTTCAATATTCAAATAAAATGTTCTGTTTTAGTGCTGTATTATCAGCATAGAGAAGGGAAGAGAAAGCATTCACTTCTTGCTTCCAAAAATACCAGGCGTCCCTCTTCCTAACACAGGCAGCACAACAGATACATCAGTAAAATGTGATATCTTCAAGATTTCAGTTTGTAATCTAGTAATGTGCATAAATGGCGTCCATTTCATGAATTGTTTCACATTGAACTTTTGAGTATCTTGAAATACAGTGCTAGCTTATATCGTTAGGGCAAGAGAGAGACTGTAGATCTAATTATTTTACAAATCTCTAGTTGTACTTATTCTACAATTTTGGAAAAAGCCTCACACAAAAATAAGATGTAAGTCAGGACTCCGGGGAAAACATTGTGTCACTGCAGATTGATTTGACTTTTGCTGATTTCACTCAGCTGCTGACAACTGGGCTGCTCCTTGTTGGTTTTGCGCCACTGCTGAATGCTTGTGCCTGCTTATTCTCACTTGCTTGGAACCAGGCAGCTACAACATGGCATTTGCCAGCAGCTTGAAGTGAACATCGTGCACCCCTTGAAATCTGTGTGCAGCTAGTACCTTTGGGTGGAACAGGCTGGCTTTTATTGCTGTGTTCTGTGGTTGTTCTGAATTTCATGAGACCAAATATGCTCAGAAACAATTTACTTCAAACTGTAAAAAACACCAACATTCAGATGTTTTACCCATGTGAATGATAGCACCATGAATGCAGAACTATTAAAATAGATCTAACGAAGGCAGATAGTGACTTTGTGGAGAGAGTGAAAAAATGCGTTTTTTTGCTAGCTGCTAACAACTTACAGGCACACAGTCCTTAGCCTCAGATCAGCCTGGGAAGATTTTACCTACTTAAGGTGAGGGTTTCTGGTTTCTTCTTTTTTTTTTTTTTTTTTTTTTTTTTGACATGAGAGTAAAATATCAGTTGTTTTTTCATTATCATCAATCATCGTGGTAAAGTGTGGGTGAGTAGATATTTCTGCCTGGGCTGATAAATTTCCATGACACTTTTTTGCTAGGCTGAGAGTACTAATAAATAAAAACTATTCCATTATGGCTAGATCTAACATTTATTTAGAAAAGCGTTCACTTTACTCAACTGTAGATGTGTATTAGTCTAATATTTTACCTCTTGTAATCCAATGCCAGGCTTGAGAGCAGTCAGTGAAATTTCCCACGTATGCAGAGTTTGTTACGGTCAATACAGAAGCCACCAAAAGCAAAGCCCAACTGTTTCAGCAAAGTTGCCATAGTATAGTGATACCTAACACCAGTGATTTATGGTATTGAGAATATACTACTGAATACTTTAATGTGAAAAAGTAATTTCATAAGTGAGTGAGCCAAATGGATCTACACCAAACCAAACCTTTACTATATGAGTAAAATTTTCCCTGGTTAAATTCAAGCACATATCTCCTTGAACCAAGGCCAATACCTTTCCAGCTTTGTGGCCAGCTGAGTCCTATTACAGAACTGACCACATGCAAATTCTTGGGGGTTTCCCTACATAATTTAACTTGAACGGACTGAAATATATGTTAATAAAAAATAAACCTTTTTTTTTTATTCCTATTTTTATTAAGCACACTATTGCTTTGAAAATATTAAAGATATACTACAACTGCTTCATGTGGACAAATACCAATGGCTAAAGAATAAATCAATTATTAGGATAAAAATAGTACCCACGTGCTGCCTTTGTGAATTGTTACCTTTATAAGACATGACAGTTTTGATGGTCATGCACTTCTTAAATCCTCTGTATTTTCTCTGTTTTTAAACAGTTATTTGTATAAACTACATGACTTATTTATAGAACTAATGGAATTCTTTTACAGGAGTCAGATCTTTCAAACAGTAATGATAGTTGGTTAGTTTTTTTTATGTCAGTGACCAGAATGTTTTCCAGCTTTTCAGTTGCCTTGCAGAAATGAGAATGCTGTCTATGAAGTATAAACAAACAGGTTCTGGCAGTGTTTAGAGATTTTTCACATGATCATATCAGTACTAGGCAGAAAATTATTTAGAAATTGAACACGGTAGCGTAGATTCATATGTGTACATGCTCACAGTACCTAGTCTGGCAAACTTCATAGTCTGAAAGGGGCTCTGAACTCTCACAGAAATTTATTGTACCACTTTGCATATGTGCAAGGAAACAGCTTGAGTCTGAACAAGGCCACAAAGGACAGGAGTGGACTATGTCTCTCATACCTTTGTGTTTCTTCTGCTTTCACGTGGACTCTGAACAGGTGTGGACGTTTGTGCACACTGCAAGGTCAGGAAGAATAAAAATGTCATGCAGTTTTATGGAAGCAGGTTAAAACTGGAGCTACGATGGCATTATAAATACCTGTTTGTTACATTTTCCTGTTTAATGCATTGTGTATGATCAGATGTACTTTGCTAAATCACCGCTTGACAGTAAGGAGAATGGAAGAGATGAGATAATTTAATGTATTGTATTCTGACATATATTTCTCAGCTTTGAAGTGATCAGTGCAGTGTTTTAAAATATGGACAATATTCTCTTATATCCAGCACAATTCTGCTTTAGGCATATTTTAAATGAGAGATCTATCTTACTGGGCTCTTTAATTACAGAAAATCACTGTTTCACAATTTTCAAAATGCTCTGTCTTGTTTAACATATTAATAAAATGGAACAAGCTCAAAGAATGAGAAGAAGGTTATATTGAGAATATCTATCCTGATCAAATAAATTAATTGCCTGAATGAGTCTTCTTCCAAAAATTAAGATATTTCTTAGATTTATTATCCTATAAAACTGAAACAAGATACATGTCAGAGAGAATTTCTTCCATAATTGCATATGAAAAGTATCAAAAGATATAAAAGTGCTGATATTAGATTTACATATCCATAAAAAATATTCCTTGTCTTTATGCAAATAAACATACAGATACACTAAAGGTTGAATACAGCAGAAATAACTACAGAATAAAGAAATAATTGCAGAAGTATCAAACAAGAAGCAGAATAGCATTTCTGTGAAAAAAATATTGTTTTTATATAAATCTGTTAAAAATACATGACACTTGAATAATAAAATATTGTAAAACATAAAAAATTAACTAGTAGAAAATAAAATATATTTTGAAATGCATATAGTATGCATTCATTACTGTAGTAAGTCAAGGAATTTAAATTCAGTGAAATTCTTATCTTCTATTATGGGGGAACAGCATAGATTATTTTACTAAACAAAACATGTACTCAAAATAAGATGCATGGAATGTATAAGTTAGCAGCAGCATCAAATGTGGGCCAAAGAACTGTCAGGGTTTCCAAATGATTCTTTCATAGAAGTGCTTCTGATTCCTTGGTTTCTAATACATTTAAAAATAAGCTACATAACTTATATTTATAGTGCCAGGAACTTTTCAAATAGAACCAATGCAAAAGCATTACTGAGCTGCTGGAAATTTTAAATAATTCTTTGTAAATGCCTTAGGTTAATTTAGATCTCTGAAAACACATTAGGAAATTAAGCTGTAATGTGAGCTAATTCAAATTTTAATTTGGCAAAAAGAACGATCCAGCCACATAGTTAATGTAAATAGAAGCATAACAGAGAAATTAATGAGGTTTCCTTTCGTTGAATCTTAAAGGAGGCAGATAATTAGCTTCTTTTGTTATTATTGCTGGAGAATGTGGTATTGTCTTCGAGGTGTAAAGAAACTGCTGCTTGCAAAATGATGTGTTCATTTGTCTTTCCTAAAAATTATTTACATTAAACTCTTGTAGGATGAAGCAGCCCAGCCACTGAATCTTTCAGCCCGACCCAAAACAGCTGAACCTGTCAAATCCCCAACATCTCCAACACAGAACCTCTTTCCAGCAAGTAAAAGCAGTCCGGTGACAGTGACAAACAAGAGTGGCATCCCCAGCCCGCTCGGCGGATCTCTGGGAAGAGGATCCTCTCTAGGTAACTAATCTGTCCTGGGCAAAGGAGAAAACTGGCAAGTTTTCTACATAAAATCTCAGCTTGAGCACACTTACTTATGAATTAAGTAGGTATTTGGGCCTACATTTCTGTTTAAAATGGGGGAAAAAATTGCAGGAAAGATTTTCAAAGAAAACTTGAAGAACAAGGTTTTACAAGGGTAACAGAAATGATGCAGCAGTGATATGCATCTATAAGAAATACAGCAAATAAATATATAACGTAAGAAATATACTTACATACAAATATATACACATAAGTAAATAGAGATGTATATATAAAATATGTAAAAGAGGTTTGTATGAATATCTTCCCCAAAGACATCAGTTAGGTATATACATGCAAAGTTAACTTCTGAAGTTTGACATCTGGATTAAACAAACAAAAAAATATCTTTGCATGTACATAGACCCTGACTAGATACTAGACATACACAGGTAATGGCTCATATGATTAGTGTACATGCACTGTAACAGTGCAACATACCTTAAAACAAACAAGTTTTCAAGCACTTTGTTGAGCCAGGGTCAGGGAGCTTCCAGTATCTCCATGGTTTACAGTAAACCAGAAGCCATGCAAGAAGGTAACTCCAAATGTGGTATTCAGCTAGTTAGCCTTAAGCTTTACACAGAATAAAATTCTAAAAGAATTGTAATCCTCTGCATTCTGGGTATTAAGTTCATATTAAAAAGACCATATGCTGAATATATACATATATATATTATTTTTTTAAAAAAACAAAGATAGAAAGTCTTCAGTCCAGACAGTTTATTTTATTATTTGTTCATGTTTTTCTTATTTGTTCATCCATATATCAAGATTTTGTTAATTCATATGGTTGCTAATAGGAAATTTTTGACCTGTGTTCAGGATTCTTTCATTAAGGAATAAAGCTTATTAGGTAATGAAACAAAATTGATCTGAAACCTATGTATGAAGTGTATCTTCACCTGTCAAGAAAGAATCAGGATCTGCAAAATGTAGATGATGAGCACAAAAGTTCAAATAGTGAATTTTATCAGTGACTAAATACTTACTACATACCACTTATTCACAATCTGTAGCTCAAGTGTACTTGTAAAATATATAGAAACACTTGTGAATAATGAACAGATATGTTAAATATATACATTAAATATATAAAAATTATGATTTGTTCCATTCCCAAAACACTTGGGAACATCGTGATCTCTGAGAGACACTTTCTGCAGCTAGCTAGATATTGTACCTGTCAATTTATTTCCAGCTATCACTGCACTATGCAGCATTAGAAAGTGGCATATCAGTTTGAAGTCATAGACCATTCCAGAGAAATGGCTGGAGGTGGTTCACCTAAGGTGTGAATATTTTTCATGTAAAGTCAGAAAGTTTTCCTCTCAGTCCTTAAGTATAAAAGAAGCCAAGGAATCATTGTTAAAAATCATCAAGCAGCGTAGGAGCTTTTGCTCCATTTTTTACAATAAATCTAGGTGATTTGGAGTCTAATTCTCATGAAAAGTCATTCAAATCTGCTTCCCAACTCAGGCTCCAGAATGGAACTTAGTTGCTGAATCAGTTCAGAGCATTGGAAATTTTACCCAGTGAGAACAATGACTGTTCTCCAATGTTACTTTTACTTTGGAGAGGGGTGCTTCATTCAAACAGAAAACATCATAGTTCCATCTAAAACATCATGATTTGCATCTCTTCTCATCTAGACCACAGTATTAAATCAACTGTTTGGTTCCCAGGATAAAGCATGAGAAACCCTTAATCTTAACCTTTTTTATTTATAAAGAGTTAAGGGTCCTTTGAGGTTGAATTTGCTATATTTCACTCAGCTGAACATCAATGAAGTCAAAAGAATATGAAAATTAACCTTGAAGGAGAATCCCAAGTCTTAGCATGTTTGGTTTTGGTTTTGTTTTATAGTGGACTGTTAGAAAGTACACAAATCTAACAAATTTAGAGTTTTTTAAAAGACATGTGCTTGTCAGGCAGGCACACAGATCATGCACTAACTTTGAATGCTCAAAATTTCCCAGCTAGAATGTATATACACAAATCTATCCATGTGTGGTACAGAGGATACTCCCACGCAGGAACAGGTGGATCAAGTTAAAGCTTCATCACAGAAACACAAAACAACCAGTCATCTGATAACTGCTGTCTTTTGGTCTCAAATCAGAAACTGTTCTGGGATACTCATCTTTAGCATGCATTTTAAGATGCAACAGGGATGTTTTGTGCAAGTTTGATGCATGCTTAAAAGTTTCTCTTACTGTCCAGAGTGATGGGAAAGAAACAATGTTTTCTCTACTGCTTTAGAGCTTTATACTCATGTTAAAGGTGATGACAAACTCTGTCCCCCAAAGGTAACTGTGGATGCTCTTTCTGAAATTGAAAGCTAAATGTCTGGAGTGATAGTTCTCTCAGTAAAGAAATTCTAAAAAATTACATAGACTTTCATGGCCAAGTAAACAAGATTTCTTTCTCCTTCTTTGTTCATTTTATTAACTATTATTAATACTTCAAAGGCTTTCCACTTAAGCTTCAGAATACTGTGGTCTTAAACACATATTTAACTTTAAGCTTTGAGTCCATGAGTATGCTCAGGTACCTCCATATCAGGCTATTGCAAGACTTCAGTGGTTGTATTTGTAAGAGCAAAAGAAGTGCACCGGCTTAGCAATCACATCTATAGATTAATTCAGCCTTCAAACAGAGAACAATTGCCACTCCTTCTCCTTTTGCAGATGTTAGTTGGGTGCAGCTCTAACAGTATGAGAGCTGGATTCTAATTTGGATAATTACCTATATAATTGTGTGTTCTCTGTTTATAGATATCCTTTCCAGTCTTAATTCACCTGCCCTATTTGGGGACCAGGATACAGTAATGAAAGCCATTCAGGAGGCTCGAAAAATGAGAGAGCAGATCCAAAGGGAGCAGCAGCAGCAACAGCAGCCACATGGTGTTGATGGAAAATTGCCCTCCATGAATAACATGGGTCTAAACAACTGCAGGAATGAAAAGGTAATATCTCCCTTTGCCACACAGTCTGTCATTCATTCTTCTTTTCCCTGCAAATAGCTTCTTATTTTTATATAAAATTTCTTTTTAGAGCTTTTTGCCATCTCTGATTTCATGTTAAATACACCTTGTCACTTCATAACGCTGTGCTACAAATTCCTCTACATTTACATGACAGCATTCAAAAAAACAGTCCTGTGCACACATGATTAAGCTGTAAGCATGCATGTGACAACGTGGAAAATGAATTGGTTGAAGCTACCATTGTTTGTGGTCACTAGATTTTGAATTGTGCTTTTGAGAATGATTGGATTCATAAATGTGGCAAAAAGGCCAGTTATGTACTAGCATGGTTCAGTATTAAAATGCTACTGAATGTATCTGAGAGTACTTGAATCTGTGACTCAGATACAACAAAGGGTTTAGGCTCAAAACAGTGCTTTTGGCTCTTAGTTTCAATGGGAAATTAGAGAACAAAGTTCTTTGTTGAATCTTGGCTGTAGTTTCCAAACACTAAAGTCTAATGGGGCACTACAATAAAATGGTAAATGAGAGAAAGTGGTGAGAGAATGTGCCCAGCATTGGACTGAACAGGACATCATTCAGTTTACAAAATAGCAAGATGGGATCACATCCAAAAGGTGAGGAACAGTTTCTATCACACACACTTTAAGGACCACTCAGAGGACAAAGAAATCTCTTGGAAAATTCTGTGTATCTGTGTTGTCCTGCTCTGCGGCCTTCCCAAGGTCTGCCAGGTCTACTCCAGGAGCAGGTCTCTGCATGTATAATAGAGACAGTGGACACTGAATTGGCTGAGCTATAAGGCAGCTGTTTTGATGAAGAATGTTTCTCTCTTAACTTCCCTAGAGGTGTCTTACGCTACAAAAAATACAGCACATGAGTTATTTTTCACCACTGACACAAAATACGTAGTATACCACAATACATATTCTGGTTAACTAGAAAGGGAAAAATACTATCCCAGTAATCACTATGGCATTGGCAAGTAGGAACAGTTATGATGTGAATTAGTAATGAACAAAAGCTGACACATTCATTAACCTATAAAAGCAACTAGTATTTCAGACCATTTGCTGAAAAAAAAAATATTGAAAAACAGGTAGCTTTCAATGCTTATAATAATTCATTAATGAGTATTCTGTGATATATCTGTATATTAGAGGGTAGGTTCTTTGTAACTTGGGGGAGGGATGGAAGATTATAATATACTCCAAAGGCTAACAGGAATATTTAGCCCAGGTTGAGTATAAGACTCAGCAGAATATTAGCTATATCTTAAACCATGAATTTACTGATACTATGATCTTTTCTCAACACACAAGGGAATACTCGGTGAGTAAGAGGATTGTAGCAAGGCACGGAAAGGAAAAGAACTGTTGTAAACAGACTCATCAAAGATTCATACATACCTATTAATACACATTTTATATTTTTGATTGATAGGTTCTTTACAGTACTCAAAACAAAAGAAAGGCTCAGTGCCTGCCTGTTAAAAAGATTTGTTAAACTGTTGCCACACAGGATTAACAATGCTTTTACAAGTCAAATTCAGAGGCTAGTAAATATTTATTTCTGCTGGTGTTAGTTTAAGTGTCAGCATTGAAAAACTCATTTTATACAGATTGATACTATGAAAAAAAATAAAAATTAATAACTGATTAACCAGGCCATATTCAGACAATGCTCTAATTGTAAAGTCAGTGTTTGTCTTAACTAAGAGTTAGGGTACTAAAGCACAGTTATAAAAACAAATGTCACACCTATAATCAGTATTAGGAGTTTATAAAATGATGTTATTTAAAAATATATTTTATGAGTTTTAGTAGCTTGACATTTAAAAATATCTAATACACTAGAAGGGCTATTAAAAGAATTCTTAACATTTGATTTGACTTTGAAAAGTAAGCATAAAAATGGCATCCACTTACTTATCAGGTCCGCTCCCTGACTATTTTCAGTACCATGTTTACGTCTTGTGTTCATTATAACAAGTTTCTATTTCGTCTTTCACCTTTTAAAGCAGAGTCAGTAAATATTTCAGTGAATAATCTGAAATTTCTTTTTTTGTGCTGGTTACTAGCAATACACAGATTGATGTACAGCTTCCAGATTGAAGTTATGCATCAGGCAGTCAGAGAAAAAAAAAAAACTTTTTTACTTGCAAATATAGCAGAGTCAGTTGGAACTCTGTAACAAATATAAACAACATCATTCTTAAATGCCATCTTTTATGGGGAGACTTTTCATGGTAGCTCTTGCAACTTTTAAAATCTAAGAATAAAACAGCAGCAAGGAACTCTGTTGTTAAATCTCTCAGTGCCCTTATACAATCGTGCTGGGTTTATTTACTGTAGCGTGTACTATAGAGGGAAACGTTAAGTCAGGGAAAAGTTGTAATATGTACTCTGGTTTTACCTTTGGTATGCTAGTCTGTTATCCTTACTCTGTAGATTCAAGAAAAGGCAGGGTTTATAAAAGAATGGGATATAAATTGGTCACTTTAGATTAAGACATATCCCCAGCCTCTATCCTAAAGAAAATAAAAGAATTAAGTCAGTCATGAATACTAAGGGAATGTATTTATATTTTCTAACAAGTATAAAATACATTAAAACCAGAAGTACTCTTTGCACAAACAGAATTCTAGAATAATCTTCTTTCCCCCTTTACCCTCTGCCTTTCAATTTTTACATTATGATATATTTCTTTTACTCTAAAAATGATGGGCAGGATGAATAAAATGGGGGGAGAGGAATGATAGATCACTTCAATTAGAAAAACATAATTTTGAAATAATTGTATGCCAAGAAGATTGTGTACAGTTTCTGTCATAATCCCAGTGAAGCTTTGATAACAGAGTTGCAATTTTGGATTGGTTTCTTTTGAAGAATCAGGATCCTGTGTTTTCAGGACCAAATTTTCAGAAATTGGCTTCAGGTAATTAGACTTATATAAATGAGTAGCTAGAAGCCAGCACCAGAAAAAGATGACAAATTAATTGCCTGCAGCTGGTTTAAAAAAAAGCTATTGAGTTCTGGTCAGTTACTGGTCTTCAAGTTCAGATAGCTGGTAATAGTTTGTTGTGCAAATGATTGCGCTTACAAAATTATGTACATATCTTCAAAGCCTGGGCCTAGGCCTTTTTGAAAATGTGTCATTTAAATCTCAGAAAGCTTTATATTTGGTTAGAGACACAGAATTGAAAATTGCCTCTGTTCATATTCTGCTGTTCAAAAACATCTCCTACAAAGCTTTAAAAGTGCTCACAGAGATTCACTCATCAGAAAGACCAAAACAAAACCATGCAGCACTCTGGCACAGTCCAACTTTGTCATTTGCTAAAGAATTAAGGTTAGGCTGTGCTTTTGAGATGGGCCCGTTCTATGGGCATCTACAATTATGGAGTTATTTCAGTTTGGGTACTGTTGTGGGTTAGGGTAGGCAGGTAAGCACCACACAGCCACTCGCTCACTCCCCTCCCGTGGGATGGGGAAGACAATCAGAAGGGTAAAAGTGAGAAAACTTGTGGGTTGAGGCAGTTTAATAAGTAAAGCAAAAGCCGTGCGCGCAAGCAAAGCAAAACAAGGAATTTGTTCACCGCTTCCCATCAGCAGGCAGATGTTTAACCATTTCCAGAAAAGCAGAGCTTCAGCACATGTGACAGTTACTTGGGAAGACAAATGCCAAAACTCCAAACGTTTCCCCTTCCTCCTTCTTTTTCCAGCTTTTATTGCTGATTACAGTGTCATATGGTGTGGAATATCTCTTTGGTCCATTTGGGTCAGCTGTCCTGGCTGTGTCCCCTCCCAACATCTACGTGCTGGCGGGCCAGCATAAGAAACAGAAAAGGCCTTGATGCTGTAAAAGCACTGTTCAGCAACAGCTAAAACATGCCTGTGTTATCAGCACTGTTTTGGTCACAAATCTGAAACTCAGCACCATGTGAACTAAAATTAACTCTAACTGAGCCAAAACCAGTACAGTGCACACAAGGCAAAAAGTCACTGTAGCGGAGTAGATTCTTTTCTACTCCACCTGGTGCTGATCGGGTGTAGTCTGGCTGAGGAAAGGGAAGGAGTAACTATGTCAATGCTTTCACAGAGTAAACAAAAACACTGGGGAACAGGAGAGAATTAGGAAAATCCAGATAATAGGCTACAGAGCTCTTTCCATGTGATACAAGTAAAATCGTACAAGAATTGGCTTTGTCTAGAGGATATGAATTATATCCAGTCAAGCCATGTTTACCTTCAACAAAAAAGAGTACTTAAACAAAATTTGCATTGCTAGAGCTACTTGTATTTATCTTAGTATTTTGAACTAGCATGATTGCCTAGAAAATTTGCTTTGATTTAAGGCTTTAAATGAACCCGAAAATGCTATATTATTTATACGATAACTGACATTATTTTAAAAAGAAGCGGATCCTATCTTTTTTGTGCATAAAGCATGAAAACACTGACAAAAGCACTTCAGAAAATCTTTGTAGAAAAAATATAGGCAGAAATGTGTTAATTTCATTGGAGAAAAATATATGAAGTCAAGATAGAACATATAACAAATTAATAATCACAACATATCTGCTAGACCCAAGGATATAACCCCACCTCTCCATCTACTTACCCACGAAGCACATTCATTGAGATCTGAGAGGAAACAGAATTTAATTTAACATTTTTGTGTTTATATTCCATTCCCACTCTTTTGTAGATTTTCAGGCAACTGTGTATTTGCAGTAGGAAACCAGAATTAGACCCCAAAATAAATGACATGAGTCATCGCCTACTTCCTGGGAATTATGGTACTTTAGCACCTCTTATAATGAGCCTTTTATTCCTTTCTTATTTCTAAATCAAAGTTTTACAAGTTGAATCCACATCATTTATCCTAATATAGACCACAGTTTGTATGCAAAATGTGTACATTCTTAAAGATGTATATTATTTACCCTTGGAGATGTTACAGTCTATTGATCAAAT